GCACACTTGTGTCGATGACTTCGTCCAAATTTAATTGCTGTGCCCTCTTATTTTCGATGGAAATAATTGACAAACCACTCAGCCGTTCCTCTGACATCGTGCTTCGTACAATTTTTTTTATTATTTTTAGTTGTGAGAACGATCACAACATTTATAGGTAGCGTCAAGTATAAAATAAATGATTATAAAAAATGATTTTTTTCACACATTCGGCAAGCATATCAATTATATCATTTTGTACCGTGGGACTTAAGTAACTGATTTTGTTAGGTCCTCGTTGTAAAAGTTCTGATAATACAGGATCATATTTCGCAAGAAGTACAATGACTGCTAAAAAGTTACCACGGTTTACGCTGTTGATTTTTGCATTATGGCCTCTAAATAATACATTTTGAATCCCTAACGCCAATGTTACATTTACATAATACGTTTTATTACTTGTCTCCAAAATCCAACTTCTTTGTTAATTTAAAATTTAAAATCCTCAGATAATGTATTATTTTTTTCCCATCGGTCTGCAGTAAGACAAGCATTTATATGAGATATACTTTTTTCATGCAATTTAATTTTTTCCGATATATATGTTTCCAATCTTTAATACCATTAGTCCACGAACTCGACGTACAAAATAACCAACATAGTTGACAATAAACTAGATCAAACGATTTTGAATTACAAATCCATTTACGATGTAAACTTACACCGCCTTGACTTTTTGCGTAATAATGTTCAGTAGAAAATGAACGATTTTTATTACCAATAATTTTTTTCGGAAATGGACCATCTGGTTGGCATGGTCCTTTAGAAATAATAAAAATTGTATCTGAAGTATTCAATGGACTTGTAAATAAGGCTTTGTCATTTGAATAATCTCCTATAAGGTCATCGTATGTATCGCCTCTGATAAATCGGAGTTTATTGAACATTCATTTTCATCATTTACACTATTTATATCAATAGTTGTTAATTCGGAATTTTTTTGAATGTTAGGAATTTGAATACTTGGAGGCGTTGATGAAAAAGATTTGTGCCTAACAGAAAAACATCGATATTAAGAGGACGTTGTAGTGTTGTACCCACATGACTGTGTTGTCTCCGTCTTACACACGTACGACATATCAAATTTTCGTTCTCTAGTTTCAAAAGTATGCTGTTAGTTTTGACATTAGAGTGAATTGACCTATTATATAATTTAAAGGTAAGATTATTATCTAGGGCCCCAAGTAGCTTTTTATTGATATTATTATTTTTAAGTAAATTATGATCTTTTTAAAACTCTACATTTTAAAACGAAAATTTGATATGTCGACATGTCGTACGTGTGTAAGATGAAGATAATATATAGGATAATATATAAGATAAGAATATAAGATATATGTATATGTTATTATATATATATGTATATAGGTATATATGTAATATATATCTAAAAGAAGGATTACGTCTAAAAGATTTAATTACCTACTCTAAATAATATGCAACATTATTACATCAATTTTAATACTAGTTAATAGTTATGAAACATTTGATTAATAATTTACTTAACATATCAGTTGTTTCCTCAGGCGATTTCGTAGGCATGGTACCTACTTAAACTTGAATCATTAAAATCATTTGAAAAAGAATCTTTATTAAGAAAAGCACTTATTCGAGGGAGTGATTTTTCTTTTTCAACACGCTGTGATTTTAATTTTCTTTTTAAATTTCTACTTAAATGTACACGTTTAGACATTATTAATTGACTATTGACTATCGACAGTATGTTAATTCAATAATAATTAAAAATATTATTTCAAAAACTAATAACTTATGAGTTATGACAAATAATAACATGCACGCAAGACGCAAAGGAATAACAAATTAAAGATCTAATGACGCATGATTATACGCCGTCGCTGTATAATAATTTTTTTTCGTATTTTTCATAATCAAATTATTTTCAATGTACCTAAATATTATTTAATAAAAAAAAATGTTGAATATTTTTTTTATGTAACGGTACAGGTCCTGTGCCCCCCCCCAACTTGGACTCAACTTGGGGGCCCCGGGGCCTGGGTCCCGGTGGCTCCGGCTTAAATATGCCACTGGTATACACATTTTTATATAAACTATAGACTGATAGATGGGCACACCGCGAGCACTCACTCGTTTCTACGTATATTTTTATACGCGAGCAGCCAGCGAGTAGTTAATGAGATATAATATACATGAATGTATGTGTATGACGTATATGTATATTATGTACATGTATAAACAAAATTAATATATATATATTATATATCTATGATAGTATCACGGTTTGTTGTTGATGTATAACGCATTACCGTCTTCGCTCAGCAAGCACCTATCCAGGATCAATTTTCGGGGGGGGTTTAAAATATTTTAAAGACGTATGTAGTTAGTTTTTGTTACCTATATTATAAATATATACCTACTTTAAAAATTTCGGGGGGGGGGTTGAACCCCTAAACCCCCCCCCTGTATACGGGCCTGTCGCTCAGCATCGTTTTTTGTGATTGAATTATTTTGTATCATTGAATTCAAATTTAACTTAAATTTACAGTGAGTATAGTGACTGTGACTCCTATAGACATTATTCTACTGTACAGCAGAGCGAAAGCGTTACCTACTTCCCAGTTCCCACCTTCATTTTTTTAACAGATTTCAGAAATCAGTCAATACACGACAATCTCGTTGACACACAACTATACAATTAGTAACTAAACAACTCAAAAGTAATAACGTACCTAATATTAATCATCTAGGTACCTGTAAAGTATAAATCTCATAAATGAAAGATAGTACTAATCGTACTAATTTGCGACTACAATTTAGTAGAAAATAACCGTTTAAATCAGGGTTAAAGTCATCAAGTAAGTTAATAGGTACTTTAATAGGTAATCGTTGGTAAATACCATTGATAATGCAGCCCTCGCGCTCGTGGCAAGTTCATAACATTTTATGAACCTCTAATAGGTACCTAAGGAAATTGACTTGTTACCTAACTAATTTGTTTTTAAAATAGTTTGAAATGCGTGTAAATAATCTATAAGTTTTTTTTTGTAACATTTAATAAATTAACACTTATGTATTTAATTCAACTATATAGGTACCTACCGATGGTATTTTAATTATAAGATATTGGATAATATAACAATCAACAATTCAATATATATTCAGAGTTAATATAAGTTATAACTCCTATGCTTATTGGTTTACTGAATTGAGTGTAAGTCTAGTGTTAAATCACCTATATTTCATTCTATACACACACTGTGGTTATTTTAGCACTCCGAAGCATACCTATAATTTACAATTGAGCTGTTTGAAAAATTCAGTAAAATACTAAAATGTTAAATCAACTTCAGATTTCCAACTGTGTTAATTAGGTCGTAGGTACCTACGTCGTAAATATATTATCATAAGAAGGTACTAATTTTTTTCGTGAGTTTTGTCAAAACTCATAAAAATTGGGAAACTGTAAATTAATTTGTTGTTAAAAATGCATGATATTTTGAATTTAAATTATGAGAGCATTAAATTGAAAATGTGAAATAAAAAAAAAAGTTTGAACTCCAATCGATAGACACTGTAATAAAGTACCTAGTTCAGAGGGGCTAGAGACTGGGTGTAGCATAATATAATATGCTTAGTTTTAATGAGTAAAATATATAGGCAATTCTTATGACATATACATTTTGGATGTTTCAATCATGTGTGACTGTGTACTAAATTAACATTATTGTGTCTGTGTGTAGTGTGTGTAATCTGTTATCTGCTGACTGAATGCAACTCTCGCAAGTCTCTCGCAAGTACACGCACAATCTCATGTCATGTCAATGCTTTGCGGAAAATAAAACATATTTTAATATTTTTGTTTGTATAATTATACAAACAACATGAGCTGTAAGTTATACGTACATCATGAAGTTCGATTGTAGTCTCGAAAAAATGGTTGAATACATACTTTTCTTAACTAAGCATTTTAGGAATCATTTTAGATTCTGAGTGAAACGATGAATGTATTGATTTTACAATGATGTGTTTTTATTTTATTATTTTTTTTATTTTTGTGTCTGACGTTTTAGGGCAGTAAAAGTGATTGGATTTTCTTCAACAGTAGCTTTTCTGATAGGAAAGTGAATCTAGTTGGTATTTTGGTGGGTCAAAAGTGAAAATTTCCCAGTAGTTTTCAAAAGCCGCGTGAAAAACAAAATAAAAATTAAGGAAAAACGGGAATTTTTACACTAAAATCTGTTTTCGAAAAAATCGATTTTGGTTTTTGGTGCAACTCTTAAACAAATGACCGTAGGTACATGAATGTTTGACTGAATGTTTCTATTAGCATTTCTATTAGCATTTTTAACATAACGATAACAATTTCAAAATGTTATGATTTATTTTGAACTGTTTAGGCACATTTTCAGTTTCCAATTTTTTTAGTTTTTTATTCTATAAATATCAATAAAGTTTTATCGGTTGGGCCAAAATGTGTAAAAATGTAATACAAGGCTCATGTTGTATTGTTACAATATCAGTTGAAAAATATTAAAAATACATAGGATCAATTTTTTTTTATAAGCATTTAAAGATCGAATTTTGACAAAATTTATCAAAATCTCGAAAATTATCAATCATTGTAATTGATAAATTATAAAATGTTCAGTTTTTATAGCTAAGGATTGTAAATTTAAAACAAAGGTTCTCATAAATAGTTCATACTGTAACCAAAAAATCTAAAAAAATATATGAACACAGTTATTTTTACAGACATTTTAAATTCATATTTGGACGAAATTACATATTAAAAAACCTAGAATAACTATTTTAGTTATTTTGTTGTGATTGAATAATATTATTCGTGGGTACTTGAAACTTCTAAAGTGTACTATTATATATCTATGATAGTATCACGGTTTTTGTTGATGTATAACGCGTTATAAGTATCTAATGGATATTGTGATATGATTAATTTGGAATTTATTATAGGTACCTATTATAGGTCAATTTTTTGTTTAATACCATAGATATGTATATAATATGTCTTATACCTAGACTGACATACCGTCTCCACTCAGAATCACTTTTCTTATACAATGATATTATATCTTTGAATTCAAATTTAATATCATCCATTATACAGTGACCCACTTGTAACCTACTGTACAGCAGAGCGACATCCACTTGCCCACCTTTTTTCCTTTTTAAAATCTAAAATTTGCCCAAAATAAATATAAGCGTAAATATGCAATGCAATTATTTCACAGAATTTTAAGAATAATATTTAATTATTTTTTTATTTGATTTAAAATTTAAAATTGAACTAAATAACCCAGATATTTTGTCAAAGAATGTATATTTAGGTACATTAAAAATTAAAATCGGAAATTTCGAAGTAGGTAGGTATATTGTGTAGTTTTCCACCGCTTCCTGGTCTAAGAAGTATGAAAACAATTTGTCCTGCAATTCCCTTAAGAACCATAGAAGACAATATTGTTGAATTTTTTTTAAAATTGCTGCTTGCTAGTAAAAATTTAATTTGGAAGTCACAACCAGTAAAAGCTCTATTTAATTTTTTTGTAGTTGCAAATGTTGATCAATTAAATATGTTAAACAATTGATCAAAATTTCAAATAATTAATTTTTTTTAAGTTTAATAATTGTGTATATACTTGACAACTCACCGTTCAGGATCCTTAGGAAATCTAAAAAAACTATACCCAAAACATGGAAACCATCTCTTGAGGCTATGAATAGCACACACGTTTCCTTTGTATGTAGACATATTTTTAATTATTCAATTAATCAATAAAATATTTATACTGTTTTTTTAATCTTATTTTGTTTCGTTATTAATATATCAAATCAATATAATATATTGTATAGAATATACATTATCATTTATCATCATCACCATCATTATCAAATAACCTTATTTTATAGTTTAGGAATTTAGAACTTAAAGTACTTAGTGCAAACACAAAAAACTACAAATAAGTAAGCAAAAAGTTATATAATAAACAATAAAAAAAAAAAATGTTAAATTTAAGTACACAATGTCTTAATCGCATAAAAATAATTAAATAGCATTTAGGTATACAAAAAACTACAGTGGTAGATATCTGTGGACCCTGTGTAGATCTTGTGGTTCTTTATCTTCAACAAACATATCTTCATTCCGGTTCATCTAGAAAAAAAATTATAGATATATTAATTAGGAATATTTTAATCCTATAATATTATAAATTTTCAATATTTCATAGTAGAGATGCTACGTTAAGAACTGATGAATCTTTCAGAAGTAAAAAAGATGAGGATTACCATAAAGGCAATAGTCCTTTAGTTCGTTTACCAATTAATATAATCAATACAGTTGTGTTAGATTACATGCATAATGTATGCCTAGGTGTAGTTAAAAAATTAGTTGAATTTTGGGTGAAAGGTAATAAGCAAGTAAGATTGGAAAAAGATAAAAAAGAAAAAATAAATAATGAGTTAAAAAAATTAAGACCTTATGTACCTTCTGAGATATGTCGCTTACCCAGGGCGCTGGATGAAATTGAACACTATAAAGCCACAGAACTTAGAACTTTTTTATTGTATACCGGTCAAATAGTTCTAAAGGGTAACTTAAAAAAAAGTTTTACTATCATTTCCTATTGTTGGTTTATGCAATTAGAATTTTAATTTGTTCTGAAACCTATTCTAAGTATAATGAATTATCAACTCAGTTTCTAAAGAAATTTGTTGATGATTATTCCGCATTATATGGTTCTCATTACATTTCTTATAATGTACATAGTTTAATTCACTTGCCATTTTATGTTCTTATTCATGGTCCATTAGACAATTTTAGTTGTTTTCGTTATGAAAATTATTTACAAGAAATAAAAAAATCTATCAAGTCAATCAAATATCCTCTTCAAGAAATCTTCAATAGAATAGTAGAAAAACAAAAAATGTATGATACACTTCCTGCTCAATTACATAAACAATATCCTGTCTTAAGCAATGAAATAATACACAGTAATCCTTCACCTCTCTTTAATATAAATGATAAACTTTTTGAAAAAATCACTTTAGAACAAACAAATACAATTATCAATGTTCTTAAAGAAAAAGATAGATACATAATGCTTACTAATAACACTCTTGTTATGGTTCAGCATATTGTTCAACCGAAAAATAAACCTCCTAATTTAATTGTAAAACAGTTCATCAGCTGTTCTGAATTTACTAATACACCAGAATCTTCATTCAAAATCGGGGTTTACATGGTTGACACTTCTAAAATGTCTGAATTATATTGTATTAATTTAACTGATATAAAATACAAATGTTTTTTTATTAGTCTATCCGACAATTTGGCATTAATCTCAACACTTTGTCATTCAGAGACTTAATAGCTTGTACCTTCAGGCTACAATTACACACTATTAAGTCATTCAAAAAAATTATATTCTTTTGTATGTATTATTTAACATTTATGTTATTTTTTAAATAAATTTTGTAACTGTATAGGTACCTATTATTTTATAATAATTGAATGTACTATACTATATATTATTAAATTATGTGTATACAATTTTTTATATAAGAATTGATTGTTTTTTTTTTTTATTTATATATAATTTTTAATAGGTATTCAATCATTTTATTTCATTTTATATTAATCTAATAATATTATTATAATATATAACTTTGAATGATTTAAATCTGTTAATTTGCAAACAAATTGTAATCTATAGTTTGTATTGTATCATTATTTATGTTATTTTGTAAATACATTTTTCACTTATATACCTATTCAAGTAAATAAATTGGAGTTACTAAATTATAATGTTGTTTTTTTTTTAAATTTTCAATATTTAATTAGGTGGTAAATATTGATTCATAGAAATTTATAATTTATGCATAGGTAATACAGGTATTATATTATAAATAATCCATATGTATAATATTAAAAAAAAATTATCAGCATTGTATATTTTTAAACAACTAGGTATACAACAATAGGATCAAACATCGCAATGATGTTTTTAATAACATCACATCTATGAAACATCGGTCAACAGCCTAGAAATGTTTGTGGTACAAATTATTGCACAGTGGGTATTTTCATTCCGGTTCATCTAGAAAAAAAATTATAGATATATTAATTAGGAATATTTTAATCCTATAATATTATAAATTTTCAATATTTCATAGTAGAGGGGAATTAAAATTCTTGATTAATTTGATGCAGTTATTAATATAAAAATGATTGCAACCACTGCTGTACAGTTAGGTTAAAAGGTTGTAATATGGATGTGTTAAAATTGAATGCAATTATGTATATAAATCATTGTTAACGATTTATATTTCTGAGCGAAGACACACCGTCAGCTCATAGTATATGTAATAATATTTTTAAATTACAAAAAATAACTAAAACCTTTCTTCTCCGTTTAAATGATATCTAATTTTGTCCAAATTTTAACTTTGATTAATTAATTAATTGATTAATTTTGTCAACATTTCAACTTTAAATATTAATATTTAGAAAATTGTATAATATACTATGGAAAATTATAAAACAAACATTTGGTGAAAATATAAAGTATCTATAATACCTATTAGTTTTTGAATTGCAACAAAATACGATTGTCCTATGAGAATAATATGTTATAATCTTCAAACAATTATTAAAAATATGTGTTAGACTTTTCGTTTAACGATTTTGAAACCTACTCAGAATTTTCTATTTTAACCTCTCGAAAAGCAACCAATTAAATTCAACAGATTATACACATGATGGAGATGGCGTTCTATTAACAAAATTATTCTAAGTACTTACCAATTATTGGTTCTAACTTCTTCAACCGGGGCAATATTTATAAGCAAATCGCCCATTCCACTGAACATACTAGACAAAACATAAAAATTCAGATATTTTTTAATATACAATACATTATTCAAATATTTAATATTTATAATTATAGAGACTGTTGGTGTAACATAATGAATTTTAAATAATAGTATAAAAATATTGATGTGTTTAGTTGATTTAAAGATCGTTAATATTGATTTTAATGTGTAATTTCGTCCAAATTTGAATTTAAAATATCTGTAAAATATAACTGTGTTCATATATTTTTTAGATTTTTTGGTTATAGTATGAACTATTTATGAGAACCTTTGTTTTAAATTTGCAATCTTTAGCTATAAAAACTGAACATTTTATAATTTATTAATTACAATGATTGATAATTTTCGAGATTTTGATAAATTTTGTCAAAATTCGATGTTTAAATGCTTATAAAAAAAATTGTGCCTATGTATCTTTAATATTTTTCAATTGCTACTGTAACAATATATCAGGAACCTTGTATTAAATTTTTACTTCTTTTGGCCCAACAGATAAAACTTTATTGATATTTATAGAAAAAAAAACTAAAAAATTGAAAACTGAAAATGTCCGTAAACAGCTCAAAAAGAGTCGAAATATTTTGAAAATGTTATCGTGTATAGAAAATGCAAATATAAACAACCAATAAAAATTGCATGTATCTACGGTCATTTGTTTTAAAGTTACACCAAAAACCAAAATCGATTTTCTCGAAAACAGATTTTGCGTAAAAATTCCCGTTTTTCCTTAATTTTTCTTTTGTTTTTCCCGGCGCTTTTGAAAACTACTGGAAAATTTAAATTTTGACCTCCCCAATGCACCAACGATATTCACTTTCCAATCGAACAAGATACTGAAGTCGAAAATCGAAGCATTATTTCGACTACTTATCGTGTACAGACACAAAAAAAAATAAAAAAAAAAATAAAAAATCAGACAAAACCACAAAATTTTCGCGAGGCCGATATTTGTATCGATTTGTTTATTGCCATAGAAACGCAAATCAAAAATCAAATTTAATTTAATTCCTTACAAAATACCAAGTGCTAAATCCAATATTAAATCCTATATAGTATTTAGTACCTATATGGCTATATACTATATATTATTATATATTTATATATAGACTGGGCCACATTGCAGGTATGTATCGGCCCATCGAGATTTTCACTTCTAGGCGGCCCATTTACATATTCACTGGCTCAAAATTACGTCTAAAATTATTAGTAGCTTATAGGTAGCCAATCGTATTTTAAACATGAATTTATTTTCACTCAATGACCGGCCCAAACTTAGAGATTTTTAAGATTTTCTCGGCAGTTAGCCTAACCAATCCGGCCCTATATTATATAAGTACCGCTGTATAGGTGTATCTCAGTTTTAGTATACCTACCTATCAGTTCACTGGCAAATATGCTTCAGTGAACCTAGTTTTATGAAATAATTCGACTTAGATGGACAACCGCTGCAGGTCACGGTTTAGATTTATCACATGATATATTTTTAACATGGCTTAAACTTTAAACTATACGTAGGTGATAGGTACTATCTAAGCTTTTCTGACATCTCTAAAAACAATCTATTTATTCGAGGTCATAAGCGTTGCAATTTGATGCATGATGCTTGTATAGGTACCTACCTGATCTGCCCGACTACCCAATCGCATTATCGCAACCATATTTATAGACAAAGAAAAATAGGTGGACAAGTGGGTGTCACTCTGCCACTCTGCTGTACAGTAGGTTACAAGTGGGTCACTATAATAATTATTTACCTAAATTTCAAATTTAACACAATTTGAATTCAATTACATAATATCATTGTATAAGTAAAACGATTCTGAGCGAAGACAGTCAGTCTATGATATAACTAATTAGTAATTACCAAGTATATTTGATGATATTATTGTGAATTAAGTAATTTATAATTTATATATTATAAACTATTTACGTGGAACCTTGTTTTAAATTTCTATTCTTCGATATGAAAGTTAAATATTTTATACATTTTTAACTATAAAATAATTATTAAAATTTGTAGAAATTCGAACTTAAATGCTTATAAAAAAAAAATTGTGCCTATATGCATTTTTAATATTTTCAACTGCTACTGTAACAATATATTAGGAGCCTTGCAAATAAATTTTCAAGCATTTTTACCCAACAAATACAATTTTATAGATAATTTTATAAAAAAAAATAAAAAAAATTGAAATTTGAAATTTGAAATTGTCCGTTACAATTCAAAATATTTTAAAAATTGTACGGTGTATAGAAAATGGGAATTTAAACATTCGGTCAAATTTTCATGTACCTATCTACAGTTATTTGTCTTTGAATTACAACAAAATAGCAAGTTCGGATTTTGTCGAAAACCCATTTTGCGTGAAAATTCCCCTTTTTTTTACCTCTCCAATGCACCAACTAAATTCACTTTCCCATCGAACAAGATACTGTTGAAGAAAATTGAAGCTTGAAAATGTTCTGAACAATATAATATATCTACATATCTACCTATTTTTATTGATTACCTATTAATAACAAAAAAAAAAAACACAGTAGATACCTATTCACTGGTGGGTTTTATTACTATTACTCTCAATAATAATTGTTTTTTTATTAAATTTGTATTGTTTTTTATTATGCCATACAAAATATAGCTAACTTTATTCGAGTCATATTAGTTAGTACAACTAATGTTTAAATTTTTTTTTACCTTTTTACTTATAAATGCCTTTTTGCCTTTTTCACTTATAAATTACTTTATTCATTATTGTGTTTAATTTTTAATTGATTTGATAGTTTTATACATGACATACGTATTAAGGGGATTGGAACCGACGATTTTCTGTCTTTATCTAACACACGTGCAACATAGGATTATAGACGTGTTCTATTTCCAACGTACCGATTAATCTAATGAGGCGATAAGAACTCTGAAAACAGATTTGAATTTGTTGTCAAGTCACTTGAGATCGACTTTCCCACATTTTTGATATTGTCCCCCCAAAATCATAAAAACGATTAATTAAAAATAGTAATTAAAAAATTTACATATTTCAATTTTTGGAGAAGTTTAAATCAAAAAAAATGGGCAAGTGGGTGTCGCTCTGCTGTACAGTAGGTAACAAGTGGGTCACTGTATAATGGATGATATTAAATTTGAATTCAACGATATAATATCATTGTATAAGAAAAACGATTCTGAGCGGAGACGGTATGTCAGTCTATGTAAAAGACACATTATATACATATCTATGGTATTAAACAAAAAATTGACCTATAATAGGTACCTATAATAAATTCCAAATTAATCATATCACAATATCCATTAGGTACTGGTAACGCGTTATACATCAACAAAAACCGTGATACTATCATAGATATATAATAGTACACTTTAGAAGTTTCAAGTACCAACGAATAATATTATTCAATCACAACAAAATAACTAAAATAGTTATTCTAGGTAGGTATGTAATTTCGACCAAATTTGAATTTAAAATGTCTGTAAAAA